AGCGGAGCCCTTCCATCCCAAGAGCCTCCACCATCTCAGTCACAGCCGGCATCCAACGACCCTGGAGACGACTTCGTGAACCAATTTGATCAAGACCAGCATCATTTTTAGTTTTTTTTTAGTTTTTAATTGTATATTATGAATTTTAAAACTTATTAATTGTATATTATTTAGTTATTTATAAATATTTATTTATTTATTTTTTTAATTTTTTTTAATATATATAATTTTAATTTATAAATAATTTTTTAAATAGGAAAAAACTGTTTCGAAGTAAAATCCTCGTAAAAGTTTCGAAGTAAATTCGTCGTAAACGTTCCTAGCAAGTTCCTCGTAAAGTGTCTACTACGAGTTTACGAGGAAACTGTTTACTATGCTCTTACGAGGAAAGTGTACGTGGAGCTTACGAGGAAAACTTTTCCACGGCTTTACGAGGAAACTTTTCCTCGTAAAGTAGCTAGGCTTTTACGAGGAAAATAGCCTTTACGATGAACGTCTTTCGACGAAACACGTTTCCTCGCTATTTCCTAGTAAAGGGCCATTTACTAGGAAATAACGAGGAAAACCCGTCCTAGTAAAGGACGTGTTTTCTTGTAGTGTTCTAAAATTCCAATAAATATTTCTCAATTTTTATCTTTTATGAAATTAAAACATCAAACAACACTCATACAATGTACGGATCCATACCTAGTAACATTAATAAAGGGTAAAATGACTAAATTACTTCATATTCTATAATTTTATTCCCAACCCACCTCCGAACTTATAATTTTAAATCCATCCAAATACAAAGCAAAATTATATTTTTAATTAATGCTATTTTCGAATTTTTGTTTGTGTACTATTTTTTCAACAAATAAGTATTTTAGTGTTATCTAGTGTATTTCTCTTCTTTATATCAATTTTCAAATGATATTTCTCTGACTGTGTTCCATGAATTGGAAATCTGAGTAAAATAAAACTCCTTTCCACATACAAATAACAAATCACATTAAATATGAATTCCTTTTACGTTACCGGCGGCCTTGAGAGTTAAGTATACTTATATGATTTCAGCTTTCACTTCACATTTCAGCTTCTCTTTTAGTTTTCTCCCTTTCCATTATTTCTTTTTTCATAAAAAAAATGATTCATCTAAGAAAAGAGCCAAAATACATTGTAACTCTCATCAGCTTATTACTACCATTCACCTTTCTCCTAATGTTCTTACCAACCGTCGTTTCATCTCATTCCCTCCACAAAACGCAGCATCTTACATCCTCAGGTAACATCATCGAGCTCCTCGTCGCCACGTTAAACCAAACCATCTCCAAGGTCAATCTTTCTTCCTCAAACTTCTCCAACCTCCAAACGAGTCTCGGCTCAAACCTAACACATCGCGACCGTTGCGCGTTTGGTGACTGTCTCGAGCTACTCGATGACACTGTCTTGGATCTCACCACCGCTATTTCCGAGCTCCAGTTTCCTTCGCCGGAGCTCTACAGCGTCAGTATGTTGCTCAGCGCCGCTATGACGAATACACGAACGTGTCTTGATGGCTTCGCCTCTAGCGACCACGACGAGAATACTAATGGTAATAGTAAGACGACGTATGGAGTTGCTGAGAGCATGAGGGAGAGTCTTTTCAATATCTCTAGACATGTCAGGGAATCATTGGCTATGCTTGAGAATATTCCAGGAAAATTAGATAATGATGTTGGGTTTCGGACGTGGGTCGACCGGAAACTCCTTCAGGATCCGACGGATGGGACTAAGTTTGATCTGGTGGTGTCTCAAAATGGTAGCGGAAACTTCACAACCATTGGTGAAGCCGTGTCGGCCGCTCCCAACTCGAGCGAAACCAGGTACGAAAACGTTACATATTAGGTTTTTATTGGTAAGGTAAGGTAACATGCTAATCGTTTTGCATGTTTAATCAATAACGAAATTACATTAAATAAGCTTCTTATTCATTTAAAAATAACTTTAGTGATTCTTTTTTGTTTGCCTGCTTAATGATTAATTTTTCTTTTGGGTCGTTTTTCTTTTGCTTCTTCTTTACGTATAGAAGCTAGACTAAGATTAATTCGGTAATGTTTGAATTAGAATAATTTTGTTTGAATCAAGCTTGTAATCAGTCATTTGAATTCCCGTTTTCGGGTTGATAAATAAAGTTATATTAAAAAAAAAAAAGATTAATTCGGTGCAAAAGAGACTAGTTAAGGATACTATCTAACCATAAGGTTTCTTTATTTACTATCTGAAATTGTGCACATAAACTCTTACAAATAAATTCAGGAGTACCATGATGAAATGTTCAGCAGAGCTTTTCGAGTTTTGCTTTTTCTTTAGTCTTTTCTTGTTTCTCAAAATATCTTAAACTTTTTATTTTTTTTTTTGTGTTTCAAAGAAAGAAAAAAAAAGTAGTACTCGTCACGGATCTACCAACGACAAATCTTAAACTTGAAGAAACGAGACAATGTTTATCATTTCTACACGTGATCAAGGGCAATGCCAAAAAGTGTCAAGTATTTGCCCAAAAAATAAACAATTAGTGTCCAGTCGTCACAAAATATCTCATCAGTTCATAGTTTTCATATTTAACGAAACCAAATTCTCATAAACGTAACTTCGAAAAAAACGTAACTTAAAAAGCACAGATTTTTTAATATCTACAATAAATTATTACTATTTTATTAGATAGTTTAAGTAGAAGACTAGAAGTGGAAAAAAATATACTAAAACATTATTTATACGCATTTTTAATTTTGAAGCACCATACACATATTTAATAGAAACAATTTAATCAATTGAAAAAATACTGAACTTTACACAATTTAACTCTCATACATTGTGGCTTTAATTGGTGACTATGTTGAAGGAAAAGAATTACGGTGAATTCTTTGTTCCTCAGATTTCAATCAATTACGTTGAATTGGTCAATTTACTAACAGGTGGGTTCCATTTTTTTCCTCTAAATTCCTCATGAATGAATAAATTTGTAAGAAAAAAATTTTCTTCTTTAATTTTGATGAGGAACAAAATGAACAAAAATTTTCTATTTTTTTTAATTCCTCAAATGAATTTTAATTTTTTATTTTATTCAATTTTATCATTCATCTAGCAGTATTGAAACCAAGTGACCCTGAATAGTGACTGTATTTTCAAATTATAGTATCTTCGGTAGTCTCATATTTCTTCACTTTTAAGGTTCTTGCATTTCAACAAGTCTTCATCCCTCAAAACACTATTTATTTTCATTTTATTCTTTATATTTATATATGTTTAATAACTTCATGAATAATTTTTATATCAAATTTAATGCTTACATTATATTAACATATTTATATTAGGTCTAGTTATATTTTAGTACTTTTTATTATATATTTCTCAAAATATTTCGTTATCATATTTTAAAATAGTTTTATTATCTATTTATGAAAGCTAGTGATTATTATTAATTATGAAAATACTGAAGATTCATTTTATAAATATCAAAACCTTCTAAAAATAAACTTGAGGGTGACCATTAGAGCAACAACACTCAACGGAGATGTTTCTTATCAAAATGAGAGTACTTACTGAAAATGCTATTAGTACATTTTACACTACTTTCTTTACTAATTATTATTCGTTTTATTATTGTACAATGCTTCCAAACTGAACATATTTGCTCCATCATATTTTTATTTTCAATTATAAAGTAGAATTAATTTAATTAATTCACTGAATCTAGAAATCCGGGGTTTTCATTTTTATTTATAAACAACTGACTGTTGAAATTTTGCTTTTGACATTATTATTTTAATTTTATTTATTAATAATTTAAAACCGTGAGAGTAATATTGATACTTTTGTGATAGATTTGTGATATGTATAAAGTATGGAGTATATTTCGAGAACATAGAAATACCGAGGGAGAAAACGATGATAATGTTTGTCGGAGACGGAATCGGACGGACACTAATAAAAGCTAATCGCAGCGGCGCAGATGGATGGACAGCATTCAACTCTGCTACTGTGGGTAAATTTTCTTCATAATCCTAAACATTTTCGCAGCCAGTATGGTAAATTTTCTTCATAATCCTAAAGTAATCCCTTTTGTTTCTTTCTTCATTATTATTTTTAACTTCAAATTTATAAAAAAATATATTTGTTTCACGTTTTTGTTTATGCAGGCGTAAGAGGTAGTGGCTTCATAGCTAAGGACATATCATTCGTGAACGATGCTGGACCGACCAAACACCAGGCTGTGGCGTTGAGAAGCGGGTCTGACCTCTCTGCTTTTTACAGATGCAGCTTTGAAAGCTACCAAGACACCATTTACGTCCACTCTCACAAACAGTTCTATAGAGAATGCGATATATATGGCACGGTCGATTTCATATTTGGTGACGCAGCGGCTGTGTTCCAGAACTGTAGTCTCTATGCTCGTAGACCAAATCCAAACCAGAGAATCACATATACTGCTCAAGGTCGAGAAGATCCTCGTCAACCCACGGGTATTTCTATAATAAACTGCAAGATCTTGGCTGCTCCCGATTTGATCCCTGTGAAGGTTGACTTTAAAGCATACTTAGGTCGTCCATGGCAATTATATTCCAGAACGGTTATTATAAAATCGTTTATTGATGATTTGGTAGATCCAGATGGATGGTTGAAGTGGAAAGACGAGTTTGCTCTTGACACTTTATATTTTGGAGAGTATATGAATGAAGGGCCTGGTTCGAACATTACAAACCGGGTCAAATGGTCTGGTTTTAAACCTATTGAAACCGCAATAGAAGCAACTCAGTTCACTGTCGGTCCGTTTATTGATGGTAACAAATGGCTTAACTCTACTGGAATTCCTTTTACTCCGGATCTCTAAGCATGATGTTGTATATTTAGAAATCTAATGGGTTATATGTTTAAATTACATTGCAAAATATGTTCTCTAAAGAAGAACTAGGGTTCGACGGCAGGCCTCTGCATGTATTTTTCACATTAATTTGGCATTAAATTAAAATACAAAATAAATCGTATTATAAGTGTAGTATTCTGTTTTATAAAAATTAAAGGTGATCATTTTGTTTTGAAATTTGTATATAACAAAAATTTGATTTGGGGTTTTATGCAAATTTTTAATGATGACTTCTATAACTTCAGTTAAAATATATGTGTAGAAACTAAAATGAAATATTACATGCATTATAATTGTAGCATAACTCTGTATGAGATGGGGTAGTAAATTAGATAATTCACAGTAATCTTAGATAAATGATAGCCGGTATATATATAAAGATCAGCGACACCAGCCACTATAAGCTTTCCGCATAAAATGACTCAACTAAGTGCCTGATTGGTTGAAACACAACGATTGTGGTTGCGGTTGCGGTATCGGGAATTTGCGGATGTAGGTGGTTGTTGTTTCTAGCGTTATTAGGCGATTTGTACAACTGATATATCGATTAAAAACTGATGCGTTGGTGAGACATTTATGACTCGTTGATTATAAGATACTGCAACGGTTCAATAATAAATTACCAATATTAACATATTATAACATTATAAAAATATCAAAACATATTGTTATAATAAAAAATAATAATTATTAATATAATATAATCAATAACAATAATATTTTTATCTATTTTTTTTTTAATTTTGATGAAAATAAATTTTCTATAATTAATAAAAAATATTATTATATAATATAATATAATTTTGTTTCAAAAAAATATATAATATAATATAATTAATTATATATTTATATATGTATGTATTTAGATATTTATATATTTATATATTTATATATTTATATATTTATATATTTATCTATTTATATATTTATATATTTATATATTTATATATTTATATATTTATATATTTATATATTTATATATTTATATATTTATATATTTATATATTTATATATTTATATATTTATATATTTATATATTTATATATTTATATATTTATATATTTATATATTTATATATTTATATATTTATATATTTATATATTTATATATTTATATATTTATATATTTATATATTTATATATTTATATATTTATATATTTATATATTTATATATTTATATATTTATATATTTATATATTTATATATTTGTAAATTTTATATAATGTATATATGTATATATATTAATATTTATAAATATAGTGAAAATTCTTAATTTGATTTTTTTATAAATAAATTATGATATTTTTATTGAATTTAAATTAAAATATAAAAGGTAGATATAATTTTAGTTATAATATTACCATTTTTATATTTTAATTTAAATTTAAAAAGAAAAATATTTTTTTTCCACCCGCATTGGCCCGCAAACGCAAATGTTAGCTGTAACCAGCTTTTGATTTTAAGAAGTTGGGAGCAGTTTGAAGCGATTTATAGCGATTTTTGTGATTGTTACAAAACGTCAACAACTACTACCAACCGCAAAAACTGCATTTGCGGGTGGTAGCGAGGAAACCAGTCAAGCCCTAAACCAAATCTTATTTAATAAATTAGAGGTTTTGTCGGTCAATAGAGGTATAAAATCACATATGACATTGATTTATTGGTTTTTATATTTCTGAATGATTTTGATATTTTGGTGGGCTGACTTCATTTTTAGTTGGCTTATAAATTATCAGTTTTTAGACTGATTCTATTAAAATTCAGCGTCTTTTTTTAACAAAAATTCACTATGTTTTTGCCATCAACTTCTAGGGTTCATCATGTTGTTCAAATTCCAATTTATCCACCCGAGAATGAAGTTTCAGGCTTTGACTTGGAGAGCAAAAGAAGATTTTTTCGATCCACAGATTACTGCGTCTTCAGAGAAGAAAAAGATGAAGCAACCTATATTTGTTGCTGGATCACCTATTGAGTCTGTGTTGGCTTGGGTCTCCAGTCTCCACCAAAAGTTCGTCAATTTTTTTCTCAGCTTCTGGATTGCACCATTTATGTTGTTCATACCCGAAACTTTCCTATGGTATTGCTCTTCCATCTTTGACTATATTTTACCAAATATTTATATTTGACTAGTGAAGAGTGCTTCACAAATACTAATCAAAATGTTAGTACTGAAGAATTGCAATTTCAAATTTCTATGCATTGGCCCATTTGTGTTGAGTGAATATATTGGAAACGATGAAAACACTGTGATCCTCACGACTGAATTTAGACTCTCACAATACGATTATTTGTGCTCGCTTTGTAGTTTCTATGTTATTATTTTAGACAAGCATCAAGGATTTGAGAAGAATGAGGACTAGAGTTTTTCTTTTTTGTCGTCAAGGACGAAAGTATTGTCCTTATTTTGTGATGAATGATTTGTGAGATTCTTTGATTACTTTTATCCATTTAACAAATTTAGGAGACACCATAACGTGATTCAAGATGTATAATGAAAAGTAAGAGAGAATTATATAAGTCCTTTTTTGTTAAAAGAAAGATTTTACATGTCTATTTGCATACGTATACAAATTAATTTTTAAATATGAAGTTTCTAATATGTTATTTGATCTTGAAAACCCGCGAATTACACTTCTTCAAATAGAAGTGATTATTAATACTAGAAGCACTATATATATATATATATATATATATATATATATATATTATTTCATTCAAATTAAATCTTTTAGTCTTGATATTTATTCCTAAAAAGCTTTTAATGAAATATCATGACAAGTCCAGTCACCTACTTTTGATTTTGTTCGAAGAATGAGAGATTTGATCATTCGTCTAATATTTATTTCTCCATAATACTCAATGTAGCTATTATAATTTATCCGAACAAGACTTATGATCTTAGTACTTTGAGATTTGGTTATAATCTGCACTGAACAAGTTCCGAAGATATCTGAAATTAATATAATATGTTAATATACTTTTATATATCAAAGTAAATTATATATTTTATTGTATTGGAAAGATTTTTGTAGTTTTTTATTTTTTATTTTGAATATCATTTAAATTAGATTTATGAATAATTTAAATATTTTGACAATTTTTTCTATCAATTTTGAGGTTTCAAAAATATTTTTTGGGACGATTTCAGATTTTGGTTACAATCCAATCCAAATCAAATCTGGAAAGAACCGAATCGAAACTGATCCGATAATTAGTAAGACCTGAATGGGTCTTAAAAGCATAATACCCAAAATCTGAAAATCTGAATCAATCAAACCAAAACTGACGGATACCTGAATGCCCAGACATATGATATATTTAAGAGACCAACATTTGTATTCGTTATCTTACAATCGATAAAGATTTTAGTGTTACAAAATATTAAAATCGAACAAACATTCATATAAAAAATTCACCCCGCAAATGCGCACGGATATCACCTAGTTATTGTATTAGAAGAGAATTTAAGTAATCAATAATATAATAAGATCTCAGATCATGTTACGAGCCTTTACAGCATCGAATGAAACTCTTAAGTTTATGATTTTTGAAATATTTCATATATATAACTCTATGTATACTATATTTACACTTATAAATATAAATTTAATCACATTGTCCATTGGAATGTATGTGCTACCTAACTATATAAGCTAACATAATAATTAATACTTTTAAAATAGACCGAATGAAACTCTTTGTTTATGATTTTTATAATATTTCATATACGACCTATATATATATATATATATATATATATATATATATATATATATATATATATATTATATATATATAACATTTACAATTATAAATATAAATTTAATCACATTGTCTCTATGAATATATGTGTTACATAACTATAGAAACTAACATAATACTTAGTACTTTTAAAACATAGTATTATCTAATTGTTCATAAGTACGCTTACTTGAATAAAGAATAATTATTTTCACATATGTTAGGAAACATTTGAATACGTGTAGATGAAATTTTTGGAATACTACAAGAAGATATGATTTTAACGAAGAAGAATTATGAGGAAATCCTCGTAATTTTACGAGTTTATTACATCCTCATAATTTTACGAGTTTATTACAACTATTTTACGAAGAATTTCATATTCATCGCAAGGTCCTTATAAAATTATAAGGAAACAGATTCGTTGTAATAATTTTTGGTACGACGAAAGTACTTGAAATTAGAAGATTAGTTTTAAAGTCCAAGTAAAATTACAAGGCTTTTACGACAGACCACATTATTGTTACATTAGGGGAATATGTGTATTCAGTGCGCTTAACCTAACTAAGTTCGTTTTAAAGACGTTGTAAAGCATATATGATGGAATTGTAAAACCCTAGTAAAACTTATCCTTGTAAATTTGTTGTTACACTTTCACCAACCAAACTCAAAAATTTCCTATATATATATATGTCATTCTGATACACTAAAATTATGTCTTTTTCTACTGCAAGCTAACAGTGTAGATGTAATATTTAAAATTCAATTCCAAAAGACCAGTTTATACTTTATCTTTATGGGATAATATTAAGCTAACACAAATCGATTTAATGCAAGTAAAATAATTAAAATAAAACAAGTAACAGAGTTGGTTTGGTTTCAGATTATAAAAAATGTTAGCCTAGGGTGAAGAATTGGTGTCAAACGATCATGAGCCAAACATCTATTCAAGGTTTTATTAAGCACAAGTCTAGAACTCGACAGACAAATAAAGATTGACCCACTCTCGTGGCATTCCCCTTTTAACAATCAGTCTTAATACCTAAACTCTCGTTTGAACTAATACATGAAAGCAAACATTAAGCACAGATTCGATAAGTTCACAAATTTCCCTAACATCTACTTTCGCTGGCTAGGGACAAACTGCCCATTCATATTGTTTCTAGCAACCTAAGCATTGTTGATGATTAGATTAAACCTAGTTTCAAGCACTAAATAGCTAGTTTAATGCAGGAAGTAAGCATGAACATGAATGGAGACAATCAAACAACGAACTTTGTTTGTGTTTAGCTCATTGATCTAACACCCTATCATCCTAGACTAAGCAAGCTGGCTACAC